GTCTAATATCAACAAAGGAAAATWCTCCAATAAGCGATATCAAGAATATAGATAAGTTCTTGAAGTTTTACAAAGATAAAAATCTAGCAAAGTTATAAGACTTAGAAAATGTACGAAAACAACAAAACGAGGCTACAAATACATTATTTTTGTTGAGGTCTCTATGCAAGTGAGCCTGTTGTTCACTAAACAAGTGGTCGCTCAAATTGAACAGGAAAACGGCTTATTATGAATCATTATCAAAGCAGCGTGACAAAACATTTTAGAGCATCAGAATTGGATAATCTGTTGGACGGTAATCTCTAGACAGGAAATGAACTTGTGAACCATTAAATGAAAATCGTCTGAAATGCTGAAACGAATATTAGTTCATAACATTCAAAGATACTAGGTTATTTATAGGTGTGTTTTTTTTTAATTCTCGCATTTGAAAGCGAGAGCTGAATAAGGGCTTTTCCTGTGAGTATGGCCGCCAATCTGATATGCTTATCCTGCGCATGCGTATAATGCGAAACTATGTTTCCGTATAGAGTCTCCTGGGAATGTTTGAAGGGAAGTGATAACTAGTCTCACTAGACGCCGCAAAAAAGACGTTTAACGTAAAACGTTTTCCAGTTTATATCGGATAACCGCTSTTTTATATGACAGCTAGACAAAAGCACTCGTGAAAATAACAACTTTACGTATTGGAGAAATATAGGTATTTTATAGATAATTATATGATAAATTTAGTTATACGCCAGAYCCAGACCCTATGGATTCTTTTTCCAAAGAGGGGAAAAAATCGTTCATGTTTGTGAGATGATGGGGYCTATATAGAGTGGCTTGTATATGGTAAACATGTGGGAAACGTGGGAAATGTGGGAAACATCTACAAAATTGATCGTTTTCAATCATTCCCATGAGATTCAAAAGATACAACTGGCGGCCATGTTGGAGGMATGAGCAATATATACTAATGAGAAATCCTTTCTTTAAGTTCCTCCAAGATGGCCGCTGTGAAGTAACTTGAAAACGAAGAATCACAAGGGTTCTTACAACAGATCTTCACTTGGGTGGAGGTGTGGCACACGACACTCAAAACCCTTTACCCTACCCCAGACTAAAGGTACAAAGGTATAATATTTTAGCGCTGAAAGCGTGGCCTAGCAGATAAGATCACAGGTAAATCCCACACAAAAAGACTACCCTATCCCACACAAAAAGACTACCCTATCCCAGACAAAACTACTACCCTATTCCAGACAAAAAGACTACCCTATCCCAGACAAAAAGACTACCCTATCCCAGACAAAAAGACTACCCTATCCCAGACAAATGGGCAAAAAATGATACCCTATCCCAGATTTGCAGCTCCGAAAAGGGACCCTATCGGGCGGCACATACCCGTATAGCMAATATAGGGGAGTAAAACCCCTCTCCCCTCCCCCTCCCTCTCGGGACGTACGGCAATCGACGTGTTACTAWTCACCATCGACTAATAATAACCACTATATCCGGTTCATAACACTTCAAAAGTCGACCCTATTCCGTCAAAATAGATGTGTTTACCATGGCGGTCACTGACCTTGAAGGTCACATAAATATTGGCAGGGGCGAATCCTGGACGCTGAATAGGTAACTAGCATTCCCTTTTCCCTTTTTTCAGTGGTTTATAAAATGCCAAATTATGATTAGTTCATTCAGAAAGCTCTACAACATTTCCAAGTGTGTGCATTATTTAATATYAAAAAAAATATTTTATTTTGGAAGTGTCAAATATTCAAAAATACCGGATTTATAAATTGGATTAATGGGATTCATTGCCTGAAAATATCTGGGATCTGTTCAAACATTCCAACGAGATTTCCCATTGAGTTTGCCGTCGACGATCAAATACTAAAACACTTTTATTTTGGCACAGGAATGGCGTCGATAATCAATTGAATTCAATATCAATTTTAACCTAGAATTAAAGGGACACTGTCAATGGATGACATGCGCAGTAACAGTCTCACCTCTAACGGACTTTGAAAGTATTACCTTCGAGGAAAATCATTTTGTGGTGCTTTTGACACACTTTGGAATATTCTAAATCTGTTTACGTTTACGATCTGATTTATGTCGCGCCAACTTGGAGTCATAAACTTGAAAACACTAGCCTAGTGTTTTCAAGTTTACTCGCGCATGCGTGCCATTGACAGTGTCCCTTTAAATCGATGTTATTAATTGCTGTAGGTGTGTACTCTGTAAACACAGATTTCCTCAGAGCTCTTCCTCGGGGCTTTCAACGTGAGGAAAGGAATGCTTTGGTCACTGGGGTGCCATTATAGTGTAAAGTTTAAAGGCCAAAAATGAGGACTGGTCGGGGTTTCAAAGTCCACGAGTTTTGAAGAAAATGCATACAAAAATCATGGATCTTTGAAGAAAATGCATGGACTATAGCCCATCCAAATGGCCAAAAAGAGATTTCAAAGTCCGCGCGAATCGTTCCAGTCCGAACGTAGCTAGGACTTTTTGAATCCCTGTCTAGTCCAAATTTCCCAAATTTTAGGCCTTTGAACTAAAGCGCAAACTCTTGAATCTCGCTAGAACATGTGGCAATACGCGAGCGACCTAGGAAAATTACACCGTTTTTCCCCCACATGCATGCAATAGAGCCTGATTTGTGCATAAAGTTTCAACTTATTTTACAATGTTTTGTTAAGAACACGGCTGTCGTGACTGCCGGTCCTATTGATGATTGACATGAGGACTGAGGGGTCCTCTTTATAGTATTTGAACTGAGCTTTTACAAAAAAACATGAATTAGTCGTCTTTGTCGATAGATGAATATCAGAAAACGTTAGGACCTGAAAAGCAACTGTTTTGTAATTAGCGAAATTTCGTGATGTATTTTCAACGCAGTGAATTGGTGAGATTTGTTTTTCAATAGAGCGTTATATAAAGACAAATGGCACGCGCATTTTTGCTTGACGCGACATACAGCTAACCTAAACTGCGGGAAACAAAACCCGTGGTTTATAATTTCAGCAATATCGTTCAAAAGAACCCTTGTCTTTTGCGCCTTTTGCGCAATCTTTTTCAGACAGTCTTCCGAAAGTTCACAGTCGATATTAGTGCAATCAGACTTGGTAAAGCTACTTTTAAGTCCCTCGTTGACAGAAGTTGACCGTAACGCAAAATATATTAGAGAAAACGTTTTGCCATATTWTTTTGAMATCAAACTTTTTATTCACTAAATTTTGATTTCGTAAATTCGCATTTCGTGAAATTGCATTAAGCGTGAAAYACTTAAGGCTTTTTGCGCACTTCCGTGCGTGATTGCTTTTGGGTTACCTGTGTTGAGAATTGGTCACCCACCGAGGAAAGGTGCACGTTGAGACCTGATTCATGTTTCCTACTAAATCCCTTGRGATAACTGTTCTTATGTTTACCTAACTAAATGGTGGAATTGATTTACAAAATTTGCGACTTTGACCCTCATAATAGAAGATGATATGAAAATAAGCAATATTCTTTAACTGGGAAAGTTTGTATTAAAAAAGATATATACTATTATCCATCACATTAAGGACGCATAAGGATTTTCAATTTGAGCTAATAGAGCCAATTAGCGAAGAAAATCAGCGAAATATTTGATTACATAAAAGAGTATAATATTGCATTCTCGGTAATTTGTTATGCAGCCTCTTCCGGCGATTTAATTCCCCCGGCATTTGAAAACAAATACAAACTGATTAATGAAAGAGTTCACGCTCTTCAAAACACAAAAAAGTTGGATGGAATTGAGAATTATAGGTCCATATGACCTCTTCATGAACTTATAATAAATATTTTAATTACCCCGCTCATTTRTATATAAACAAGAAAATTATTAACTTATTTAGAAAGGAGTAGTTTTCGTCGCAATAAAGTGAWTATTCAATGCATTTGCAGCGATTCAGAGAAAAGCTGAAATGCTGTTCATATGAAGACACGTGACAAACCTTACAAAATCACGGTCAAAATGTGTTTGCAGGAGACCTATTCATAGTTTCATCGCTATAGGTAAATACAACATYCATATTGCAGACACATGCATAGATTTGATGTCTAGTTTTTTGCTTTGTTAACTTACCTTTGATCTCGCATAATGAAAGACTAATAAACTCAAGCACCARAAAAACTCGCCACATTTTTGGACGTTGTCCCATCAAGAGAGATCAGCGGTCCAGTGAAGTTGGTGCAAGTAACTCAAGAAGGGMTTGTTAACTTGATACTTTGTTGCCGTTCAGTCATGTGTTTTCTCTCATATCATTGGTAAAATACCATAGAGTATTAAGGACTTTCGACAGCTCCGTGAACTGCTATTCCAGAGATTCATTTCCGCTGGACTCTTAAAATAGGAACAGGATTACGTCCACGTCTCCACATGGGTATTAACAGGTCCTATATGAGTTACCTACGGATACGTTAGACTATAGTATAAGCATACCCACGGATACGCAAGGGGAACGTAACTACATTCTTGAGTGACGACATTACGACAACATGCGACTACGAACATTACCGACATACGACAACATACGGCTACGAACGTTAAGAGATATGGAAGCATACAAACGTTGACTTGCGTGGAGATTCAGGAATCCCCTTACCCCTGGGTACCTGCAGARGGTRTCYGATRAAGTGACATTATTTCATTTAGGGCGTGG